CTGCGACGATATCTGTAATACCATCAAACATCCACATCTGCCTATCCCAGGTCCTTGGTAAGGACTCGCTAGGTAGACAAAATGCCAAATCCAGTCTGAACATCTGGCTGACTGTGCGATGATCCTCAATAATAATAATAATAATTAGTGTTGGAAGCAACCTTGGAGGTCTTCTAGTACAACCTCCTGCTCAAAAAGGAAATCCTATACCATTTCAGACAAAACTTCCTATGTTGGAGCATTCACAACTTCTGGAAGCAGGTTGTTCCACTGATCAATTGTTCTAACTGTAAGAAAATTTCTTCTTAGTTCTAGGTTGCTTTTCTCCTTCATCCATTGCTTCTTGTCCTGCCTTCAGGTGCTTTGGAGAATAGCCTCACTCTCTGTTCTTTGTGGCAACCACTGAGATATTGGAACACTGCTATCACGTCAATCCTAGTCCTTCTCCTCACTAAAGTAGACATACCCAATTCCAGCAACCGTTCCTTATATGTTTTAGCTTCCAGTTCCCTAAACATTTTTGTTGCTCTTTTCTGTTCTCATAGATGGCAATGTCTGCTTTTATGAGATCTGTCCACATTTGATAGTAGATGATGTTGATGGCTCCTAAGATGTTCCCATCTTAAATGCCTTATCCAATTGCATTCTGCTACATATTCCAAATGTGCTGTCCTACAACTGGCCCCAGAATGCTAATAAGGGGGCAGTTTTGGACAGCTTGGTGCACATGCTTGGCCCCTGGAAAACAAGGGTATTGAAGCATGCCACCATGCCCAGCTCCTAGAGCTATTGTTGGGTTTCTACGATGGTACGCCAGGGGTCTGTACTGGTCTATTTCACTCTGAATGGGACAAATGTTGCAGATGGCATGGATAGCCCAATCCAGGAGAAGGAGCTCCCTTAAATCCCATTGCCCCATAAATCAAAATAAACTTGATATCAGAGCAGAAATGTCAAAATTGAAAACTGACATTCTGAGAATCAGTGAACTAAAATGATGGAAATGAATCACATCAGAATAAGGGAACATCAAACCTTCTAGTGTGGCCAAGAAATCTTAGAAAAAACAGAAAATCCATCATTATTAGGAAAAACATACCAACTGCAACCCTCCAAATGACAGAAACATCACAATTCTAGTCAAAAGCAAGCTAATCAATCAGCTTGTCAACTCCTTCTTGACATAACATGCACACGCACACACATATACACAAAGATAATGTAATAGTTTTAGGAAATTGCCATTATAAAATTGAAGGGGAAATAGAAGGCTCTAGCCTTTGTTTTAATAAGCAGTCTGCCCCACTCCCCAAATCAATGTTTTAGCAAATACCTTTTTCAAACAATCTAAAAATTGGACATCACTAGCTGGACCAATAGAGTGGCTGAAAAACTTTGGCCTGCAATTCATGATTTCATTACCATAGAAACAAAAATATTCTAAAATTAAAAAAGGAAAAGAAAAAAAAGAGCAATTTTGTCTTTGAATGTGCTGATAGAATTGAAGAAAGATAAAAGGATATTATGATCAAAACTAGTGTAAAACTTCTGCTTTTGCAAATTCAGTTTTATATAGACAAAACAGGTAACCAAGAAGTCGGGTGCCTTTGGGGATCTCCATCTAAAATGAATATTAGCACTTCATAAGCAACATCCACAAATCTTTGCAACAGCATGGACTATTAAGATAGCTCAACCTTCCCTGACTGGGTCTTCCAGTTACGTTTGACTGCAGCATCCAGCATCTCACTCTGATAATTTCCATCTAAAATATCATCCACAGTGAAGTATGTTTGGAAGTATGTTAATTTAGACAACATTCCCTTGAACAAGGCTACAATCCAAACGTTCGAAGATGCAAAAGGGAATTTGGCAGACATATCTTGTACCGACCACAAGAGATACATGATTTCAGTAACGATCAGAGAGCTTTTCAGTTTCAGTCAAAACAGCTTGGAAATAAAACAAAACTACTTCTGAGGGATGGGGGGGTGGGGAGAGCAGCAGTTTAAGCATATTTCCAAGCCAACCCAAATTTGAGAATAGCCCATTACCATCCAGTAAATTCTCAAGGATCTCTCTCTCTCTCTCTCTCTCTCTCTTCCTCTATCTATGTATCTATCTTCTTTCTGTCCTTCTGATTTCATGAACCCACTCACATCTTTCTTTCATATCACCGAACGCCAATATATCATTAATAATTGTATGCAAGGAGGAAAAAAAAAGAGCAGGACATTTCTCCCTCTACTCTTGAATAGTAGTAATTTTGCAGAAAAAAGGCCAGGGGCCTTCCCCCCCCCCTCCACTGTATCCACTCTGCCAGGCCCAATGTTTTACAGCACAACAGCAATCACATAGGCTTGAGAAATATGGTTTCTTCAAAGGCTATTAATTTTGCAGAAGCCATTGAGAAAATGGGCTCTTCCAGGATCCAGCTGCAATCTGATTTGTTTTCTAGGAGCAGAGCCAAGTCTGAGAGAAGGAAGACAACCCAGGGCTGAAGAGGGAAGAGAAGAAAGCTTCTATTGCAGTGGTTCTCAACCTTTTTAATGCCGTGACCCCAACCAGTCGTAAGTCAAGGACTAAACCGGTCGTAAGTCAAGGACTAAACCGGTCGTAAGTCAAGGACTTTCCCTGCCCGGGAGCGCCGCGCATGCATGGTTCCGCCCCCTGCGCCGGCCGAGGCATAGCTGGCAAGCGGCAGAGACGGAGCAGGCCAACTACCAGCTGGCCCAGCCCAAGGGAGGTAAGGCACCCGCCGGAAAAGGGGAAAAAAATGGCGGACAAAAAAAATGGCGGACAAAAAATGGCAGACAGCCTTGCTTGGCGACCCCCATGAAATGGTCGATCGACCCCAAATGGGGTCCCGACCCACAGGTTGAGAACCACTGTTCTATTGCCACTACAGCCCCAAAGTATGGTTTCTAGATTCAGTAAGGAACTTGTCTCTTGCTGGGCCTTTTGTTCGATTGGAAGCCTGTCCTCATGAACAGTTTATTTTTTAAATATTTCTTTATGTACATTTTAATTTCTATTTGAATTTATCTGCCACTTTCCATAAACAGTAAATAATGCAGTGGGATTATATTACATACCTGTTTTCAACAGTTATTTTTGAATCCTGCAGGGATAAAAATTGCATGGTGTGAACTATTTTATTGTGCCATGTTTTTCTTGCTTTGCATAAATGAAACCGAGGGACTGGGGATTTTTTTGCAGCTGAACTATAAGAGAATTACTACATTTTTCTTGTAACCTGAAACTATCCAAAGCTTTTTCTGTTGTCATTATTCAGAACGCTTTGTAGGTTATTTCATTTTTAAACACAAATCAAAGAAAAAATGATTGTTTTTATTTGCAAATCTAACCGGCTTGCATATGAAAACAAACAGGCTCAGCATCATCTGAATCATGTTTTGTTCTAAGTTATCCTCCTTTTCTTTCCAGTGGGACTTATTCTCCACCTCAACTGCATGTGCTCAATCGTATGAGAATAAATTACACTGAAGAGAATGGGACCTACTTTAGAATAAACTGAAATAGGGATTCCACTTCAATATATTTAATATTCTCATTTGGAAAAGTTTTTTTTTGTTTGAATGAATCTATATGTTATACTGTTAGTCCTTGACTTACACCCATTTGTTTAGTGACTGTTCAAAGTTACAACAGCACTGAAAAATGTGACTTATGGCTGTTACAGCATCCCTATGATCAGGTGTTCAAAATTCTGGCTTTTGGCAATTGGCATGCATTTATAACGATTGCAGTGTCCCGGGGCCATGTGACTACTATTTGTTTGTTTGTTTATTTATTTATTTGACTGCCTATCTTACCCCAAGGTAACTCTGGGTGGTTTACAATATTGAAAAGATAAATTTTTACAAAACCTATACACCATAGGTCCCCAACCTTCCTGGCACCAGGGACTGGTTCTGTGGAGAGAGGTTTTTCTGCAGACTGGAGGGGGTGTGGTTTTGTGTGCTGCCTGTATCTCATGGATGGGGCTTTGCTTGTTTGTGCGAACCAGTTGCTGGCATGCTGCGGCCCGGTACTGGTCCATGGACCGGGGGTTGGGTACCCTTGCTATACACAATAGGAACTAAGTACAGTGGTACCTTTGGTCCTCAGCTGCTATGAAACTCATCAAATTTGGTTCCCAATGCATTTTGAAAATTTTGTCCTGGTACTCATCGTTCATTTGGTACTCAATGCACGAGCTAGAACTTGTCGGTGTCAGCTGCCTTATGACTCACCATATTATTCCTTATGGGAAAAATTTGTCTGGTACTCATTGTTTTTGGTACTCATCATGCCTCCCAGAACCAATTAACGATGAGTAGCAAGGTACACTGTAATAAAAAGATAAATGCTACCTTCTGACAAGCACAGTCAATGTCACTTAGCAGCTGTGTTACTAACTTAACAACTGCTGTGATTCACTTATCAACTATGGCAGAAAGGGTTGTAAAATGAGGCAAAACTCACTTAACAACTGTCTTCATAGCAATAGGAATTTTGGGCTCAATTGGGGTTGTATGTTGAGGACTACTGGGACTTCATAACTACCCATGCTGCATTATGTACTGCAATATTAAGAGTTTCAAATACTTTTCAGACCATTTTCATAAGCCCATAATTCCACAAGCCGTTCTCATGTGATAACTTCCCTTTTTTAATGAAATTTTGCAATTTTTGTTTTAAAAAGCCATTGTGCGTAAACATCAGGTCTTGGGCTTTTGTTTTTAAAAAGACTTGGAAGCAGTGTTCAGACAGTATGGTTTTTACATGGCCTTGGCTGATAAACACTGATTGTCACTGTTTAATGGATTTTGCTAGGAGCAACTGTTACCTCCTGGACGATCGAAAATATGAAATGGAAAAAGAAAAAAAGAACATACCATGTTCACAGAACAACACAAAAAGAACTATATCAGGGACATCAGGGAAGGTGGAATACTATAACAACACATTTTATATTGTTATATTATTCCACCCACCTTAATGAAGAACCCTTTGGTGTGGCTACTCCGTAGCCTTTCGAGTCCAGGTTTCCTCCCACTTTCATGGTGTCACATGGCTTTCGCTGCTCAATGTATTCATTCATGGTGGATTCCAGGAGGAAGGCAAACTTGCCCTTGGACTTGCGAACGCGGGCAACGCCCTCTGCTGTGGTCCTAGCGAAGACGGATGGGTCTGTTGTGCTCATGTATGCCCACATCTTTTCATATACTGCTATTTTAGATCTCTGAAGGAAATTAAAAGGAAGTTAGATGCAACAAAGGAACAAGAGCCCTGCAAAACCTGGTTTGCAACCTCAAATACATCAAGAGTCATTTTGTGGCTCCACAATAGGAAATAGGTTTCTTTTGATAGAATGGGATGCTTTCATTGAAAGGAGACTGCAGTTTTGACAGGCATACAGCTAACAGATTTATATGTTTTATGCCCAGTTCTTGAAGTCATTTAAAGATATAATCCAGAACAAATAGAAAAAAATATATATGAGTCCATAGAAAGTAACTAGATGTACAAATTAATAGCAGAAAAATCTATTGAGTACTAAGTCTACTTTCTAAAACTAATGATTCAATACAAAATAAAACATTTTGTTCAATCTTTGGCTTAGAATAGAGTGAATTACTATTTTTGCAGATGATTTTTTTTTTTAAAAAAAGTAGAACAGTTAATATCTACAGAGCCTAAAACTATCCAGTGCAAGATTGTTCCTATTTCTTTATTATTTGCATACATTTAGGAGGAAGTTCTTGGATTAATTGCTTGGGACCAGTAAATCCAAAGCCTGTTATTATTATATTGTTTTCAATGTGATCAGACCTGCTTTTGTACTTAAAGCAAGTCAAAGAATAACTTATAGTTGAAATTCATGTATGAACTGTCCAGCTGTATGCTTAAAATATTTGTTTGATCGACTAGCTTCAGAGTAAGTTATTAAAAAAGTCTACTTATGACATTTCTAGATCTAGCTCTGATTTCTACAATGAATGGAAGAAAAAGTAACATTGGGAACCCCATAAAAATATTTTTAATAAAGACAATTGAATGCACTAGATATAATTGTATTTAAGCTTTCTGCCTAAAAAGGCCATTGCATGAATATATGAGAGCATCCACAAAAATACTGAAATAACTGTTATAAAATAACCACATACCTGTATCATAATTAATCTGTTATTACAATGGATTCTACCCCTTTCTTTTGAAATAGCTACCCTATTACACTATCTGTTACTACAATGTTAAATTAAAAACCAACAATGAAATTATTATTTATTGATTGATAAATTGTTTATTTATCATATTTGTATAGGAGCCCATCTCACAAAATGCAGCTCTGTGTGGCTATACTGAAATTGTTCAAGTAAGAGGTAAAAGAAAGATACACTTTACAAAAATGAGACAAGTTGGCATAATCTGCCTAGAAGCTTTTTTTTTAAATGACCCATTTAATTTTATTGTTGTTAAGAGACCTTAATACCCCGGGAAATATAATTTCATTGTAGTTCCCTTTTTCAATGGCAAACACATTAAATCTTCAACAGACATTTGTCTGTATCTTATATATAGGGCCTGCCTAAGTGTATGGCCTTGGGTGCAAACATTACATGCAAGTCCTGGCATGCAATGGGATTTCCCTCATTAGTTTCAGTATGTGTGCAATGGGAAACGTCCCACTTTCCTTATTCTTACCTGAAATATTTATTTTAAATAGTTCTAATTTAAATATGACTAATTCTGAATCCAACATTTTGCTTAGCATATCTCCAAGAGTTTCAGTGAACCATATTCAGTTCATATTTTGGACAGACAGCCAAGAATACAAGTGACAACAGACGCCACTGTTTATAAAGTTCTATGTCTCATTGATAGCAGTGAGATTTACAGCATAGCGTTATAGATTTCTATTCAGAAATACTTCACTTGTGTTTAAAGACTGCAGCAATTGATTAATCTTTTGTTTGTCTGTCTCCAGCATGTCTAGAGTCCCCATTTAATGTCAACAAGTGAATACAGCTAAAGAAAAATATGTTTAGATCATATTTGAAAAGATGTTAATGCATGCTTATATCACTGGGACCTAGAAGTACTTAACATTTCTTGTTTCCAAGCTGCTGGAAGATATTTTTATATCTTATAACATAGCAAACAAAATGAAAACAATACAAATGAAACCTTTACAAAAGTAATGTGATTGATCAAACTGCTGGAAACATATCCTATGTATTTTCAATGTAGCTACTTTGTCTCATCCAGTATCTGCACATCGCAAAACTGCATAGTTTTTCATTAAAGTCTGCAACAGAATAAAACAAAAACTAACCTGAAATACACCTTATAACCACAAAAAGCCTATCAAAGCTCCTTGTATTTGAGAAATCTGGTTTGCCATCAGACAGGAAAGAATGCTATTCTGATTCCTCAGATTCTTAAAGCGTTTATCCCAAATGCCAACAAATAGAGCAGTTCTTGTTTTTGATTTTTAAACAAACAACAGCAATGGAATAACTTTAATATTGTATTTGCCACAGAAGCAAAACGGATTAGTTGTAATGGAACATAGTACCAGCAGTATACTGGACAGAGAAACTGAATTTCAGGAAGCATACCAACTTACTCTGAAGAATTCTTTTGTTGAACCAGAGTCCAGAGTCCCATAAGCAATTTCTGTTTGTTTTGCGAGGTCTTCTGCACTTTCTATGGGTGAGACCATTCGCTCAACAGTCAAGAAAGCAGCAAGGTTAGCGGTATATGATGAAATTATGATCAGCGTGAAGAACCACCACACACCTCCAACTATGCGACCTGAGAGGGACCTAAATATGAATAAAATATGTGTATTTTCCTAGAAGGTGCAGCAAAATAAATTATTACAGGAAATGTATTCACCAAATGTATTCACCAAACAAGAATTATTGTGAGTGTCGCACAATAAGTTCATTGTTCTGTTTAATACAATTTCTCTTTATTATCTGATTCACACTCCAGCATGCTGTATGGTGAATGAAGAAAAATCTAATATACTCTGAATAAACATTTAATTATATCTCTTACAAGGAAGAGCTGCTTGCTGCAACATCTAATGAAATGATTTCCAAGCTAAGTAGTGAGAAATCACCTTGGGTATTTATCAATTAGAACATTAATAATAGCAAGAAAGGGTTTTACTAAAACAGTTTCTCACTATTATTTATCATATTGGTACCAAGATTTGCTTACCCAGAAAAAAAAACCTGGATATATGGTAAAAATGAGACCTCAAAGGTCTGGCTTCAGCGGGTCTAGGTATTTTCTTGATTATGTTTAATGTTTTTCCTAAGACTGACTACATGATAATATTTCAGGGAAGGGACTTGGAGCAGGTCCACCCTATCTGATCTAGTGGGATGGACAGATAACCTCAGGGAGAGGTGAATAGCCTGTTCTTGCACCATGTAGGGCTTTAATGGTAATAACCATTGTACCCAGAGGTTTAACTCATGCAACGGGGGTGAAATATGTACAAACCTAGGGGTGCTAACACTGCATGCACTGGTTCACTTCTAGGTGGTTTTCAAGGGCAGCCCCATGTAGAGCGTTTTGCAGTAACCCAAAACACAGTCACTCATGCCTTGGAAGTGACTAAGGCAGGGGTAGGCAATCTTGGTTCTTTTATGACTCGTGTACTTCAACTCCCAGAATTCCTGAGCAGAAGTCCACGAGTCATAAAAGAGCCAAGGTTGCCCACCCCTGGACTAAGGCATGTGAGACTGTGAACAAAATCTCATGAAATGCTGGCTATAGATGATGGGAATTGTCAAGCCTTTTTACAGCAGGACTTGTCTATCACTTATCCATGTACAGGTATGAACAGACTGATAACGAAATGATTCCTTATAGACTTTCCTCCTTACAAAAAATAATGTTGACTAACACAAAATCTTAACCCTCCTCTCCCCAACAAAGCACTATTCTGGATTGATTTTGTAATTTAAACTTTGACAACACAGACCAGCTACTGGATGAAATCTGGTCTATGTGTTCCTGCAAGATTAGTCTCAAGATGGACAATATACAAAACTTCAAGAGTATTTCAAATATATGAGAGAAATCAGCTAAGGGAGAAGAGAATATGAATAAGATGAATCCAAAAGATTAGGAATTATTAAAATAGTATCTATAAGATATAAATCATCCTTTCACTTTGAACTTTTTCATATCTCTTTCTCTTAGTGAGAGGGATATTAAGGAGTGGTTGAAAATTATAAAAATGTCTTTCAGGAGAAATAAATTAACCCGTTGCCAAGATAACCAGAGTAATACTTGGCCGTGCATGCGGATGATGAAAATGTCCATAATAGGGAATAATAGTCTGATTGTCACAGCAAGAGGTTCTGTTCCATCTTTCCTGTTCTATTTGAGTAAGGGCTCTATTTCCTTTCAAAGTGGTGCCTTCAATGATTATGAGTTGTTATGGGGCACCATATTGTCATACCATTGAGTTCATGTGTGTACAGTAATGGAAAGGAAGTGCACAGGTGATTAGTTTTTGATGGGAGAATTCATTAAATCTTTCAATTGCCCTTCCATTGATTTTAATATCATAGTAATGGATTCCAAAATTAATTTTCGTAGTTCTGTGTATTTTGTTTATATTTGACATAGATCCAAACAGAGGAGATGAAACGAAGCAAAATATCTATTCGGCTCTGTTGGCAAGTTTCTAAAGACTAATTAAAAAAACGAACCTGGTTCATTGAAAATTGCTTGTGATTGCCCATTATCTTAGTTACTCTGTGTGAGTACAGATTTTGCCCAAAAATATCAAAATCATTTGGATTCTGACCTATTTGGCATTATGTAGCATAATCCTACACTACAGAATGTGGTTATTTGAACAAAAGTAGAAACTGCTGTATAATCAAGGAAACTAAGTTCTGTCTAACCTAATGTTTCACTAATTTCAGAAGGACTTCAATTAAATTAACATTAACTTAAACACTTAACTTAGTTTCTGATGGGACCTAAATCTACTTCCATCTTTAATTAAACCACACAAAAAGATTTTCAATAAATTTATATATATGAGATGGTAAATTTCTCTCAGCTGAACCCTTCTTACAGGGGTGGTGTTGTGGGGAAAATAGGAGGAAGCTGTATTAGATGTGTTCACCACCTTGAGTTATTTGTAAAAGTAATAAAAGGGGGATACAAATACATAAACAGATAAACAAAATATATTAATTCAGCAATTTATGTTGTATCCAGTGCATTGCTCGCATGAGTACTTTAATTCAAAATGCAGAAAGAGAAATTATACAATAGAACTAAAACACAATTTGAGTAAACTGTGAATGTATTTCCAAATTGCCTTCAAATAATACAGAAACCTCTACCTTTATCACCGACATAAGGGGTCTATATCAGTGATTTTAGGGATACACGTTATCTCCAGAATACACAAATTACCATATGCTTTGAGAAATTATTAAATATCATGTGATCTAGTGAAAAAGGGTTCTTTGTTGTGTGGCCCCTAAACTGAGGGAAAAAAATAATTTACATAATATATTGCAATATTTTTTTAAAAAAAAATCTAAAATAGAAATGCAATATTACAAAGTGGAATTGTCAGGTCCCCAACTCCTTATTGTCTTCCTTGCATATATACTCTTGTGCTTTTGTTTTGGGGCCTGCCATTCTGCTGGGGGGAGGGGGGATATTTTCTTTCGCTTGGGATAACTTTCGCTTTCTGCTTTTCGTCTCCCGCCTCTATCCACTTGAGAAAGGAATGTTTCTCCCTTATCAGGGAGACAGTTACAGAGAAATGAAACTGGAGAAGACCTTGAGATGCACGCCAACTCTGCCAGTTACCCACACATCGTGCCACCTGTGGATTGGCTGGATTTCAGATGGACATTATGACTTTGGTGAGAGGAGGAATATTGCTAGTTTAACCATACCGTTCAAGTAGGATTTTCCCCAGATCTCGCCTTGACTTCCCTACTGTCACTAACCCCTAATAAGAGTTTCCTTTTGAGACAATGCCTATTTCAAGAGTTCTGCTTTCTTGGGTGGTTAGCTGAGATGGGTCCTTACAGGAATATTTCTTTCTTTCTTTTTTTTCATTTTCTTAAAATTATAGCTTGGGCATTTTTTTCCAAACATCTTTTGCAACAGTTCTACCCCCCAAATTGTGAACTGTTTATCCTTGCTCTAAGCTATGAATTTTACAAAGAAATTAAAAAGAAGATCCAAGAATTAGTAATCTATGGAAAGGCAATAATAGCTTGATACATCAAATTGGAAAGTAAGAAAATTACAACTTTATAAACAAAAGAGATAAGAAACTAAGGTTTTCATAAAAACAAAAAAAAAAAATGCCTGTGCTTACATATGGGTATATATTATGACTATCCTTATCCTTACTATATCCTTAGGGATAAAATGCAAACTTAGAAGCAATTTCAGCATTATACCAACCTGGGTGAAATGTCACATCCTTGCTGCATAAAGGCACCCAGGGAAAACCAAAGACTGTTGAAGATGCCAAATTCATTAGGAGGTTGATCACTGGGTCCTTCTCTACCATCTTCTGGCTCTTCTGTATGCCATTCATATGGACTAAACCTGCTCACCAGGAATAGGACAACACTGACTCCAATGTAGGCAAAGACTATGCACATCCAAATTTCATAGGCCAGGGGGTCCAGAAATGAAAAAACTCCTGGTTTAGATTTCTGAGGCTTTTTGATCATAATGGATATGCCAAGACTCATAAAGGGCTTAGAAAAATCGATAACCTCCTCACGTACCAGAGTGATGGTCAGAGGTGCAACTGCAATTTCTGCTTTCTGTAAAAAAAAAAAAAAGAGAGAGAGAGAGAGAGAGAACCCAAACAAATATAGATTAGGGAAACAATAAGACATTATACTTTGCAACAAGTGGATGATACAGGTTTTCATCCATCTAAAATGAACGGCTAACCTAGAGGCTAATGGCAAAAATATGGTGCTGGAGACATTACAATGGAATTAAAGAATGGACATTTGGAAGGAAAAAGTGGTATTATGCCAGGAAGAATTCTAGGCAAAGATAAGCACTCATTTGCAGTTAATTGAGAGGTGTGTATGGTTTTACTCTACTTAAAGATAGGGGCATGTGTAATGTAAATCCACACAGCCTTGTATCCTGAAATATACATTATGCTATATTCTATTAAGTAAAACCATCCTTCTTCAATGTAGGAAACCCTCTAGATAGAAAAATCAACAAGAAGACAGTATAGACCAGTAAAACCAATTTGCAGTGGATCTTCATGATTCCTGGTAAAGGATTTCTTTTGCTCAGCCTAGATATCCAAACACATTTTTAAAGAGAAGAATCAAGGAAGCTACCAGATCTTTCTGAAGACATATGCTCTTCAAAGATCTATAGCAGTGGTGGCGAACTTATGGCACATGTGCCAGAGACGGCACTCAGAGTCCTCTCTGTGGGCATACGTGCCATTGCCCCAGCCCTGCCTCCCCCGTGGCCCCTCTTCATCAGTAGCCTCACAGTGCACAGTTGATGCTGCGGGGTGCGGGTGGAGGGCATGGCCATCATGGGGCTGCTGGGCTGCTTGGGCAATCTGTGGTGGGCCATGGAGGTAGTGAGTGGCCCTGTGGGCGGGCAGGCCGGGGGCAGGCCGGGGGCAGGGTAGGTGAGACAGGGGGCAGAGTGGGTTGGACAGGAGGCAGAGCGGGGGTGGAGCGGATGGGATGGGGGATGGAGTGGGGGCAGGGCCGGGTTTTGGGTACTCGGTCTCTAAAATGTTTGCCATCAGTGATCTATAGTCTTTCTCCTATGTAATGTATGATTTCATGAGGCTTCTTTTTAGACATAGTAGTTTAACATTATGAGAAGAGCGCATGAATTATGGCAAACAATTCTAAGTTGAACTCCTTGTATTTCTAAGTGAGGCATGCTATCCGAATCCCATGAGATCCTATGTTTTCTGCCTCTATTGAGAAGTAGTCTTCTGTAGCCTTTTCTGCTTGTGTTCCATTGGGCATTTGAAATGTCAGACAGTAAACTCAGGAATTTCTGCATGTGTACAGATTAAAAAAGGACTCACTCCTCCTTCCCAACTAAAAAAAAATAAATTCAGTTTTACCAGCATAGTTTAAAAAAAAAGTTTTGGGAAATTTGAAGTGATTTTGCTGAGTTCTCAAAAATGCAGATAAAACCCAGTTCTCCCCCTTAGCTTTCTAGTCATACCTATTCATTTGATCAACTAACTTCAAATCTGGAAACTATTTTGCATGCAATAAAAATATCACTTCTGCCAAGTAAAAATGGTTTTTAGTGACATTAATTTTCAAAGCCAATTGGGCAGATGAGGTGGACAGTCCACTTCCAAGCTTAGCCAGGGTCAAGTGCCAGCATCTAAAGCCACATTTAAAAAAACAACCAACATTTAGGATTTTTTTTTACTTTTCTTTCACCCATCCCTAATGCAGAACTTTGCTCTACTAATGTGTTTATCTTAAACAAAACAAAGTTGACTCAAGCATGAACTTAATATATTCCATTCCTCTATGGATATACTGTGCATATTATCACTGCTTATTCCAACATTAATAAAACATTCTTGGCTATGCTCAGTTTGTAGCTCAATGCATTTCCATATAGCAATCTGCTCTGAAAGGCTTTCCTATAGTCTACATTAAGCAAATACAAGTTAAACTTCCATGTGTACAAGAATCTTGGAATGTTAATAAGTAATAGTATGCATCTATTATTACATGTTTATATCTAAAAAAAAGTCTAATGTGAAACAGAGCAGATGATAAGTATAATCACATAATCCACTGTACTTCTACCTTCTGACATATTACTCTAAGAAAGCTTAGCCCAAAGCAGCAGAAATTGTTTGAACTTTACATCGGAGTCTGTCTTATGATAGAAATGGGCAGTGACCATTTATTCATTATCTGATGAACAGAGAACATTCCTCTGCAGAAAGATAAATATTTAACTGCATTTGTCTCCTAAAGCTTTTCAGAACATCTGCAAGATATAAGCTAATGTCTTTCATTACGAGAAAGGATTTTACCAAATCATCTCAAAAATTTGTACTATTATGTAGCTAATATTTTGGTCATTAAAATGTAGAAAGAAAGAGCAGATACACGCTATTTCTGCAGGCTGTGCTTAATTTTAAAATTATCTGACAATGAAATGCAACTTGCACTGGAATTATTGAAATCTTAGAAGTACAATAGATAAAGATGATGAAAACTGCATTAAAATACAGCTAATCTTGCAAATTAAATTAGTTCTAGTAAGGAATTTTAACCAGAGCAACATATTAAAAAGACAGTTACAAAGCTCTTAACACCCTCTCTTCTTCTCTAAATTTACTTATCATATTCCCATCAACATAAGTAGTTGCAAGTTTTTTTTTAATTTCACAAGCTTTACTGTTACAACTAAGCAATCACTGTCTTCAATAGAGTTACCTCTTTCCAAGGATGCTTACTTAATCTACTTGAATCGGTTTAAAATTATTAATCTTGCCGAGGAGCAAAAAAAATCTTTGCTCCAGGCAACATACTGCGGACCTGTGTTGGTTTGTGGTACATGCAAAACTAAACTGAAAATTTATTCTGATGAAATTAAAATATAATACTCTTCTGAGGCTTTATAAAGGATGGGATTTTTTTTTTTAAAAAAAACATCGGTCAATTCAAAAGTGTAAAAACAACTAGTTTACTAAATCAGCCAGTTAAACTGCAGTATTTCCATTCCTTTCTTCAGTTAGGTTGATGGATGGAAAATTTTGTCATCTGCTTGGGAAAGAGATAATAAAATGAATAATAAAGTTAATATCTACAACAATCCAGAGCTTGCTACAAAAATGGCAGTCTTATAATACTGCACACACTGTTGAGAATAAAAGGGAGACCTAAAAAAATATGCCATATAAATCTGTCTATTTATCAGCTCTATGTGATTTAAGGTGGGTTTTTCTTTGCAGTTTCTCTAGAAGCATTTAGCATAATTTTAATTGATAAAGATAAACTCTGCTGAAGATGTTACCTAGCCTGGTAACAAAATGTTCAGAAACCAACCCACAACCTCGGAGAACAAACCTTCACCCTGATGAAGATGCCTTTCCAAAATGAAGAGGAAATGAAATCAACCTTCTCTTTTTCTGCTTCTCTTTTGACCTCTGTCATGTCCTTCCCAACTCTAACTTGGAAATGCAGGGGATAGAAATAGCTTTTACATGAAAATCCACTACCACTGAACAGCAATGCAGAAGTGCTGGGGACAGGGTAAGCACAGCCATGATAGTAAACTCATCAATCTCCTTCTGTAACATTAAGGGCCAAGGCACATTTTTGATGAATACTTTCATACTTCAGCAATTCCCTTGTATAGTCAAAATACATTTCCATCTTTTCTAAGTAACAAAAATAGGGAACTGTATGGGAATTTTTACGTTTACTAGTTCAAATGTTCTGACAAATGACCCATCAAAGGGAAATTGTTTTAATGTCTCTTCCAGTGCAAAATGCAATTTTCTCTTCAACTCAAGCGTTTCGTGAACATACATGCACAGTTTGCAAGAGAAACAGTGGTGTGCACTCTGCCTTCCTTTTCTTTCACATTTGAAGAATTTATCAAAAACTGTGAACATTTACAATGAATGTTAATTTTAATAAATGTTAAGTGTTGTGTACCATCCTTTGCTGAGTTAGATTTGCAAATCATTTTACCAGGCAACCAGCAGTTTGCAACAGTTTGCCAATATGTGACGATATCACTGGAAGGGAGGATAAACATAATTTAACCTTTATCAAACACAATTTGGGGGCTTCAGCTGCTATTTCTGTTCATATTAACCCCTCCCCCCTAAAAACCCTTTTTCTTATTTAACAGACCATAGAAAGTCATTTGTTTTGTTGTCAAAATGCAACAGGATGATCTCAGGGTTCATGATTGCCATAAATGGACTGCAACAGCCTATGTATAATCCCACATTATAATTGCACTGTTGTTAATTTTAAGCTAAAACCTGCATCAAAAATATGCTTACCCCATATACAAGCTCTCCCACCATCCCGTTCCAGATTTTTGTCTGTGGATCCCTTGCTCCGTATTTTCCATCAGGGACAATAGCAATTTTATATTTGATGCCAATATGCTTTGCAATTTCTGATGCCAGGTCTACACAGTAACCTTCATACTTCTCATTCCCTTCAAACAATTCTCTGTTTTTTTTCCACATAACATATGGGGCTTCCTACAATGAAAGAATGAAATCTGTGAAAGAGAAACAGGTATCGTACCAAACAAACATGTTCACCATACATGTTCAAACAAAGACTGATTGTTCACCATCAGTTACAGAATATGCTGTTTTGTCAGGTTTTCACCCTGAAAGATTATAACAAATATTGCTGAACAGATATTTATCACAAAACAAGAAATCCACAGCAATCTGTGAATTCAATGAATCTCTACTGTAATATTAAAGCAATCATCGTTGTTGCGCATGCATGCATGAATCATACAGTATATAGCCAATTAAAATCAAATTCTACACTATTCATGCTCCAAATATGAGGAGACAATTAGTCTACATTAATTATATTTTGTATATTATATAACTATACAACTATTGTCCATATGGTATTTACTAATCCAAATAAATGAGCTAATAGAAGTAATTCTTCATGCTGCTAAAAACTGTATGTAAACCTTTTGTGAGATATCAGCATACATGTCAATTATATTGCAATTTAATTAATAAACTTAAAATATTTAATATTTTTAAGATTCATTCCTTAGTACATGGATGAAAACTAAAATAAACAATACCACCGATTAAAATGGTGCTGCTTTAGTTCATCAACTATTCATTAGTTAATTAGTGCATGTTAAACCTAATTATAAATTAGATATGATCTAGAAATTGAAATATTATTTTGAGATCTGGGATGTGTCTCTGCCCTCTGTCAATCTGTCATACTAACTTCCAAATTAATCAGATCAATCAACAGAGGGCTTTTTCTAAGCATTTCTTAATTTTTCTCTTTGATCTCTTTCCCCATGGTTAATTTCACTGCTAATTTTCGTACAGTTGCAAAAAAACTTTTATTCCCCATTTTACTGCAAAGAGTAAGAGCAACCACAGAAATGATTGGTAGCACTCAAGCATTTTTTATTCTACTACTTTTTAGTTTATTCAAACACTTCATGCAGTAGCAGGCTCGTATTATCTATCTTTTCAACAGATATATTTAATATTTAAGGGGTTATATGTGGTGTCAGTGCTCTCTTCTTCTTTCCCAATGAGCAAGACACAGTTTGCCAATGGTTGCTTTTATTCACATCTCAGGTTTGTTTTGTTTTTTTCATCTATTCTCATTTCAGTTAAATTGTGGTAACAGAGGCAAATGCATTTTCTGAGAAGGGCGATTGATGCCCTTTTCTCCACATTTTAAAGCTTTGACATTAGGATCAAATAGCTCATGTAATAATCTGCAGACAAAATGGCAATCAATCAGATATTTACTGTACTGGTACTTAGGAGCTACTAGGAAAGCAAGAAAATATTATTTCTGTAATAAATCATGAAGGTAAGAGAACTGAGTTAAGTAAGTAGTATTCATTATTTTGATGAAAACGGTTTTCTGATATCTGGGTGTTCCTTGGAAGTAAATATTATCACTGAAAAACATTAGCTATCTCTTGGCAATTTTCTTCTCCAATCTACTGAAGAAGGATGTAATATCCTATAGAGAGCAACAGTCATTTGGACCCAAGAATTAAGTATGTTTCCCTAGAACGTTTTTTCAGAATTTCTCTGCGATTTGCAATTATTCCTTGATACTCAAGACAACAGTGAATGTATTTCTATTTAGATTCAGGATCCCTTGAAGAGAGAAGGACAGGGGATCAATGATCCTTTAGAAAGGATCTTAACACTTTATTATTCAATAATATTTATTTCAGGTTTTTTTAAAAAAATACATTTTATATAGTGATAAATGAATATGGGACTGCTAGATGGATACACAATCTACACAAATTTACAATCTGGGAAACTGAGGCTCATACAAAAAGGGAGTCCTCTGTGAATTATAAGTTAAAAGGTCTTCGAAGTGATGTGACATTTACTCAGCATTTACTACTGTAAAAATTGGTAATATCTTTCATCTCTTGAAATGATTCAGTTGATTCTGCAACCTCAGCTTTGCATTATCTAAATTGCCTGTATATATTTATTTATACCCACATTTATTTAGGAGGGTTGATATCTCTTTTGATGATGATGGTCACTTGTTAAAACACACATTATATGATCACATATTAAAACACACACGTGTATGTACATATACAAAATGATTCTTAGGAAATTTTCCACTTAGAAATGGCACGACCATTACTTCAGCTCTTGGCCAAATTACTGCATTTCTGCTGCAACTTCTGATACACTTTTAGAAAGCCATGTAATAATAGCTTATAACATGAGGTAGGCTGCATACCTAAGGTGCTTAGAAACAGGTTTGCCAATGGTTTAGTTCCAGTAACATATATATTTTTGTCAGTGGTTGTAAGATCAAGATATTTCCTTATAAACACTTAAAAATGCTATTTCTCCCCAAAATGTCCCTATTAGCTGTTTCATGTGTATGTGTGTGTGTGTGTAAATGTCCAAATGTTACAAAAGATTGTCTATTCCAGGCAAAACAACTGAGTCACTATTTGCAAAATGACTGCACTTTTTAATGTATATATATAATAGATTCCTTTCCATGTTTTATAATGAAACAGGTGAAATTCAACTGAAAAGCAATTTATTTGTTAGAAACTAATTCTAGGGAAGACAAAAATAATATTTTTGTTTAACTCTTGGGTTCTGCATGTTGAACTTGATCAAAAGCCCAGATTTATTTATTGCAAAAATTGAGCTGGAATTGCCCTTTCTTTTTTGGGGAGATAGGGAGGATGGGTGTTAAACATTTTTTATTCAACTTAGTTAAGCATCAGATTTAAGACTTTTGTTTCTTACTTCAGGGAAAAACTGCTAAGAATCATATCAATATTGTTTCATGGTTTGTTGCGTTTTGACATCAAGGTTTCAACATCATAGGAAAAATTTCCTCATAAATACAATGGGAAAGACAAGATTTTAATCTATAAAGGTTATTTTCAGAACTTCACAGGGTATCTCCTAGACAATTGTTAGTGGAGCTATAAAGGCTAATATAGATTTAAAAGAGGTTCTTGCACCTCACTCCAGAATGTCCTAACCTGATTGTTGAGTCATATAGAACGTAAACACAAATTACAGGTAGTCCTTGACTTATAATCATTGGTTTACTGGCCATTTGAATGGCACTGAAAAAAAAAAGACTTACAATTGGTCCTTGCACTTACAACCATTGCAGAATCCCACAGCTACTTGATAAAAATTCAGGTGCTTGCCAAACGGCATGTTTACCACGGTTGCAGCACCCCAGGGTCATGTGATTGCCGTTTGCAACCTTCCCAGCCAGCTTCCATCAAGCAAAGCCAATGAGGGAAGTTGGATTCGCTTAATGACCATGTGATTCATTTCACAACTGCATTGATTCAGTTAACAACCATGGCAAAAAAGGTCATATCGTCAACGTCAACTCACTTAACAACTTCCTTGTTTAAACAGTGGGTATCTGGTCCCAAATGTGGCATAAATCAAGGGTTACCTGTAAGACAAACTAACTCACACTGATGAAAATTTAAATGTGTAGTTACCACCTGTTTGGGGAGATTATATTTAAATTATCTATAAACTAATGGGCTTTTTCTAGAGCACATTTTAAGACCCTCTCTTCTGCAATTATGGATGGCAGTCCCATGGTGCTTAGGCTATACACCTGTGTCTTCCATTTTCTAAAATGTAAAATTATATGCAGAATTGTACTGTCATATTTGCCTTTTTAATTTTCTTTTTAATTTAATTTTAATTTTCAACGTTACGTAGATATTTTCCTAAATGACAAGTCTACTAAAATCAACATTTAAAGAGCCTTGGTGGGGCAGTGGTTAGAATGCAGTACTGCAGGCTACTTCTGCTGACTGCAGGCTGCAGTTACGGTAGGCAGTTTGATTCTCACCCGCTCAAGGTTGACTCAGCCTTCCATCCTTACAAAGTTGATAAAATGAGGACCCAGATTATTGGGGGCAATATGCTGATTCTGTTGGGGGCAATATGCTGACCACTTAGAGAGGGCTGTAAAGCACTGTGAAGCGGTATATAAGTCTAAGTGCTATTGCTATTGCTATTTTTAATTGCATTTTTGTGCATTTTCCATAAGATTACATCATATCCAGATCTATCAACAGATGCTCACTATGTATCAAACTGTTAAAATGTTATTACATTTTGGATTGTACTTGATTTGTTTTAACTTATGTTGTACTCATCTTGGACTGTAATAAAGAAAGTTGAGACAAGATTTGAAAAATATATAGAACATACCCACTCACATGTTTTAGTTTTTTATTATTTAAAACACTGCAAATGATCTAATTCTCTACTCTAAACTAAGAATTCTTATATTACATCAATATTATGTGAAAGATTGTATTAATGCGGTCCATGCTTATTTCAGTTAAATAAAACAAACAGTAGTCTTGTTTTCTATACGAGTTTAAGACAGAAATTTAAACATATACATACAACACGAGAACATATCATTTGGTAAAAGAAGACAGTGTTCAATTTCCTAATATGAATATATAAATAAGTTGCTCTTATATTTGTATGGGTGAAACAGCATAGAATCACAATAAGCATAGGAACATATCAAATGTGAAGGTAAAAAGCAAATTGCTGAATTTTATTTTAAACGTGGCATGCAGTAGAAATTTACAAATCAATACATATCGGATTTTCACAGAATGAAAAATTGGGTATTATTGATTCCACTTAAATTCAGAAATTGGCTCAAGTACCTGATTTATTTTGTCACCCCAGTGGCACTAAATAAGTTAGTAATATGAAAGGCCAATGAACAGAGCCCATATTTCGTTATGTATTTTTTTTTCTGGAAAAAAAGCGCAAATTCACCAGATTCTGCACTGCACTGTGAGTTTGGTACACATAAATGAGTGAAAGAGATTGTTGTTGAGTGATCCTGGCCATTATTTGTTTCTAAATTAAACATAGAATTCATAGCTAAATATTGAAAAAGTTAAAAGGCAAAAGAAATGCATGGGATTAACTGATTTTTGAACAATGCCACATTTAAC